AAAGTCAAAGTCATGTCTACTTTATTTCCTTTTCATCTTTTAGGGTATTGTAATTTTTTCATTTTTTTTTTTTCATTTATGCAAAAGAAGGTCAATTGTGTTTAGCTTGGTTCGGTGGTTGTATGGTTGGTGACATTTTATTATTAAAATATATAAATAAGAGAAAAACAATTAAAGAAAAATAAAGAATTAATTATTTTTTTAAAAAAGTGCAAACGCAATAAAAGTGTATATTCGTCATTTCACAACTTTTATTGATAAATCGGATGAAATTGATGGTTTGCACAATTAAATGTGCAATTAAGGGTGAAAATGTCAAAAATGAAAGGCAATTGATGTTTTCACAATAATAGTGAAAGGTGGGAACATTATATGCTAATTACCCTTGTAATGATTTATCTGGGACTGGTTTGCACTTTTTAAAAAATTTGGGACTACGATTGCAATCAATTATTTCTGTTTCTTTTTGTTTTATTTAAATAAAATGGTATGTTCGTTATTTTAAAGCTTTTAATTGAGAAAATGAATAAAAATGATCTTTTGTGCAATGAAACGTGAAAATGTCAAAAATATTAAAGGTAATGGTGTTTTTCTCAAAAATAATGAAAGACAAAGACGTTATGTGTCTTTTTTTTAATGAATTGATAGATGGGAAAAAACATATATATGTTGTAAATGGTAAGTTTATTAGAAAATGACAATTGTACGCCTGCAACCCTAAAAATTATTATCATAGTATCCGTAATCATTTTCTATAAATATAGGGCTTTTGTTCTCGTTATAATACACACGAGTCTATTGACTTATATTATTTCTTCTCTTTTTCTTTATTTTGTAACACGCGTTATCAGCACGATTCTCTCAAAATTAACATAAATTATTTAGAAGGTAACGGTTTTTTTTTTTTTTTATAAAGATAATCATCTATCGTGTGTACCAAAATTAATATGATGACATGTGAACTTCTTTTATACACATGTGCATGAATTATTTTTTCTTACCAACACAAGCAATAGCCTCACATATTTGTAAAAATATTTGCCATTCATATAATTTTGTATGCATATCCGTACTCAATTCTCCCTTTTTTTTTTAATGCATATATGTACTCAATGCAGCGAGCTTTTAATCCAAGTGGGG